GAAGAAGAAGAAGAAGAAGAAGAAGAAGAAGAAGAAGAAGAAGAAGAAAGAAGGAAGAAGAAGAGGAAGAAGAAGAAGAAGGAGTTAGAAGAGGAAGGAAGAAGAAGAAGAAGAAGAAGAAGAAGAGGAAGAAGAAGAAGAAGAAGATTTCATGGTAAATTCGTTAGTCTTACTCTCAGTATTTCTCTGCAGATGTAAGCAATCCAGTCTTCTTTCAAGGAGTTGCCCTTTGTGTTCTTCACCAAGTCTGTTACTGAGCCGGCACCGCAAAACTCCATCACCAACTAAACAAAAACAAACTAAATTTACATATGAAACTACAACTTGATACAGGCTATTTTTTCCAAATCAACAAGGTCCATGACCTATTTTTCATGCTAAACCTCTTCCACTAATGACAGAGTGCAGCTATAATTTATCACTGTGTCTTGATGCAGGACTTTCTAGCAGGTTAGAAATCACAGGTTATGGTGGTGATCAGGTTTGAGGAAGCACAGACCCAGAGCTGGTCGTCATGTCCGGGCGGACTCTTCTTCACGAAGGCTCCATAGTAGGTGGCGATGTTCCTATGGTGACTGTACTTCTTCAGCATGTTAATCTCAGCTTTGATTTCCTCCTCCTCTTCCTCAGTCACATCCATGACCTTTATGGCTGCCAGCTGACCCGTTTTAACATGACGACCCTGAGACGGAAAGAATTTCAATAGCAAGTAGCAATTGATCCAAAGTGACAGTAAAGATTTATAATGTTATAAAATATTGCTATTTCAAATAAATACAGTTTCTACTAGGGGTGGAAAAAATCGAACCGTACGGTTCTCCACACACGGTTCGGCACGCACTAGGACCGCGGTTCAACTTAAATCTGACAACGCATCTGTAATATGGTTTGCTATAAATAACACGTAAAACAAACAGGGTTCAGCTAATGTATGTTTCTGTTGATGGATGTGCATTCTGGCTTCCCAATACATTACAACAACAGCAATGAAAAAAAAAGTGGACAAACCATTCACTCTTGTTCAATTCGAATGCCGTATGCTGGAATATGAGCAGTCATTTATTCAGTCATCACCCGGGTGCTGATAGCGCGCGCGCACAGGTGAGACCTGAACAACACACGTTGATATCTGCGTTTAAACTAAACTCATTTATTAAGCTTTGCCAGTTTAAACATTTAAGAGCCAGAGGAAGCGCGCGCGCAGTGAGAAGATTTGTGCGTGCGCTCATCCGAAGCGCGCAAACCCTCACCTCAGAACGCACGTAAATATTAAAGGGGTCATATGATGCGATTTTAAGTTTTCCTTTCTCTTTGGAGTGTTACAAGCTGTTCGTGAATAGATAAGATCCCTAAAGTTGCAAAGACTAAAGTCTCAAACCCAAAGAGATATTCTTTATAAAAGTTTAGACTGGTCCACGCCTTCCTAAAATGCCTCGTTCAAACACGCCCCCACATGTCTACGTCATGATGTGGGAAGAGTTGCATAACGCTGCCTAAATGTTCACGTAAAGAAAGAAGGCATAACTTTGTTGCTGCCACCACTGCCGCCATGTTGTGAAGATGCTGTGTTTCATTGCAAAAGTGAAAATACTTTGTTTGGCCTTCCAAAAGAGGACACGACTAGAAATCAGTGGTTAAGTATTTACAACACTGTTCCAGAACAATTCAACCCAAATATTCAGATGTGTGCAGCGCATTTTATGGAGGACTGTGACTGATTCCTGGGAGAGTAGTCTACAATGCTGGTGTTCTGATGAATTCAGTTCCCCTGTTTCCCCTTCGGCGCGCATGCTGACCTGTCTCGTAAGTGCTGAACACTAAATACTCTGAGACCTGGGCAGAGATGCCGCACTGCAGCCCTTCTGGCAGATACAGTACGGCTGAAGATTACATGGGCCAATAAACTGTTTTGCTCTCTCAGTGTTTTTACAAATTATTTTACAAATGATAAAGTGGACCTATTTAATTATTGAAGCCGTATTTTTAACTACTGAAGGCACAGTTCACAAAAAAAAAATCAGTCATCATTTACTCACACTCATGTCATTCCAAACCCATGACTTTCTCTTTTCTGCGAAACAACAGAAGAAAGTCAGCCACATGGGTATGGCATGATGGTGAGTAAATGATGACAGCATTTACATTTTGGGGTGAATTTTTAACCATACTTTAAAATGAATGAATTTCTGTCAGGACAACTCTGTGTAACGAAACTGCACAGGTACACAAAGTTTGAGAATTCCGATGCAGTTTTTATTAAAGGGGTAACCCACAATCAAAGTCCAAAACAGGTAAAGGTCCTAATATGGGCAATCAGTCCAAACAATAGCAACAGGGGAAAAAAACACAGGCAAAGGGTCATCCAGAGACAGGCAGGGAAACAATAGCAGGGACCCAGACAAGGAAGAACCAGGAAACAAGGTTTAGGAATGCAGTACTGACACATACAAGACTTAGCAATGAATGACAAATATGAACCAGGCTCATATAGGGTGAGCAGACATGGTTAACGAGACACAGGTGCAAACAATGAGTGGTGATGAGTCCGGGCAAAGGTTTATGGGAAATGAAGACCAAATGACAGAGGTATTGTTGGTGATCTTTAATACATTGATACTGTTAAAGGGGTCCTATTGTGCTCTTTTACAAAGTCTTGATTTTGTTTTGGGGGTGTACTAGAACAGGCTCTCATACTAGGTTGTTTTTACACATTTTACACATCATACACATTATTTTTCACATATTTTACATTATTACAACTCCTCTTTCCCCAGTCTGGCATGAACGGCTCGAATAGTTCCTGTATCAAATGAAGGCCCGCCTTCTGAAATACGAAATGTGCTGTGATTGGTTAGCTGGGCCAGTGGGCCAGTGTGTGTTGTGATTGGCAGCACTCGGTGCCTGGTCGGGAAATGTCATGCCCCTTACCATAGCCGTCTGCGAGCTTCAGTGTAAATATTGCGTCAAAATCAAATCAGTTTGAGCTTGATTTAAACCCGGATGGTTGTAACCACTCTAAGTTCGTCTGCCTTGGGAAAGCTAGCGCGTTATCACTCCGACACAGTGATAACACTCGTTGCCTTCTCTAGTGCAGCTCAACCAGGTCTCCTCCCATTCGTCGATATTTGTGATATCACAAATCCCGGAAAATATGCGTTGTAGTCCAAACGAGTCGTTCGTTGTAGTTTTTGAAAAATGATTTCTGTTAAATAAAATATTTTCCGACTTTTAAAGTGGACTTTGAGCTTTGTAACTTCGCAGATCTGTTTTATGCTCAAACAGCAACATTACAGACTAACTAAACTTGAAAAAGTGAAAAAGCATAATAGGACCCCTTTAATGTTTTTGTCTTGTCGCTCCGGCCAGACAGGGCATCACAGTATGGTAAGGGGCGTAACATTTCCGTCACAAGCTTGAGGAATTCAGCCAATCACAACGCACGGGATAGCTGGCCAATCAAAGCACACCTCACTTTTCAGAACGATGAGCTTTGTAAAAATCGACGCGTTTCAGAAAGGTATTCAATCAAGACCTCTGTAGACCAATCAAGACCTTCATAGAGGAGAAACAGTAATGTACAGTATGTGGAAAATAATGTTTTTTGAACCTTAAACCGCATAAACACATTTCATTACACCAAATACACAAAATAATGTTCTTTTTAGCAGCATCATATGACCCCTTTAAGCTCTCTCTGAAGTATTGTGTTTAAATGGATAAATTCACTCATAAATTATGTCAAAAATGCCCATCTTGGTAAGCATCCTATAGCAGACATAGCCGGCTGAACGTACTTACAGTGTCTTAAAGTGACAGCACTTTCTTCATATTAATCAAACAGCAACAACAAGGAAATCACTCACTGCTCTTGACTGAATAGCTTTTGTAACTTTAATAAAGATTAATCTTTAATTTATACAGTCAAATATGCAATGATGTTTTACATTTCATTATTCAATTTCTGTACCTAAAAACTAATGTTAGACCTACCTAAAAAAAACTGAAAATCACTGTTTATTTTATTTGTATTAGCACATACCGAACTGTACCGAAACCGTGACTCTAAAACCGTGATGCAAACCGAACCGTGAGTAAGTTGAACCGTTCCACCCCTAGTTTCTACTAATCAAAGAAAAAAAAGATTTTCAGTAAGGTTTTCCACAAAAATGTTAAGCAGCAACTGTTTTCAATAATAAGTAATGTTTCTTGAACACCAAATCAGCATGTTATGATTTCCAAAGGATTGTGTGATAACATATATTAAAATATAAAACAGAAATTGAAAAAAAAGAATACATTGTAGTAGTATTTAAAAAGATTACCGGATACTTGGTCAAATAAATACTGACTTGGTTAGCAAAAATATTCAAATAATATATAAGATATAATATTAAGATATCTGACAGAACCCAAGCACAAAACTTCCAAAAATTTCATCAGATGAAAATGTTTATACACGTTCAAATAAAAGGTACGTTATGTATATTTAACACTATATTAATTAATCATCCAAAACTACTGTAGTAAAACTTAGCACTTTAAGAAATGTCACACTGCACTGTATACACTGGTCTATAAACTACATATTTAAAACTACACTAAATCTAAGCTGGATAGACTACTTCACTATCTCACTACTACCCATAAACTACTAATACACCACATCCTGTATAACCTACGTACACACTCATTATACACAGTACATAAACTATAGCCTCACTACAGCCCATAAACAACACATTTTACAAACAATACAGCCTGAAGTATAAATGACACCCTACACACTTTTTAAAGAAGGCTCATGTCATACATTGCAATAATTACAGAGGTCTGTAGGGTTAAAATCACTACATGAGCCTGTAAGAATAAAGACTTATTACACACTACATGTCACATGGTTTCTAGATACCATTCCCCGCTTAATATGCAGACTATACGCAAGTCATTTGTAGAATGATTTATCAAAAAATAAATAAAACAAAAATGTTATAAATCAACCAATGGTTCAACCAGTTAAGTGAGTTTGGGGCAGGGCTATCTGTTTAACTGACCAATAAGAAATGAGGAGAGCTTTGGGGAAATCTGTTTGAAAGCAGCATTATGTTTCCAATTCTGTTTGGTTACACTAGCAGTGAGGAAATTACACAATTTAGCTTTAAACATTGAAATTCGTCTGCATTCAGTCTGTTCTTCATTCACTTTTTTCTCTGTCAGCTTCCTCCCCTCATCAGGGGCGGCGCCAGAGAATTTTGAACGCAGGTGCTGAGGGGGTGCTAGATCATTGACAGGGGGAGCTGGGCAATTAATAGTAAATATAACCAAAACAGGTTACAGGTCTTTTTTTATATGAATAATAAAATAAATATAAGGAAAACTCGCCCACTCGATTTTGTAATATTCTCTAATTATGTAGTCCGTATAAAAAGGTGCAATTCTAGTAAAGACACATCCATGAGGAGATGGCGAGTCAGCGTCGGAATTCGGCAACTTCATCTTTGCAGCCTGTCTGACTCAGAAAGCACTAATTTATTAATAAATAATTAAAATGTCTTCTCTTCCCCCCGACACGTTCATAATCACTTTGCCGGTGCTTTGAGGCAACTGCTTTATGCGCGAGCTTGAGCGCGAAATACTTCTGCTAAATGTTCAGTTATTTTTGTTATAAGAAAAAAGTTATTAAACCTGTTATACTGTATTATGACAGCACTTTTTTTTTAACTTAATTTCAATATCGTGATAATACCGTATACCGTAATAAAAGCATTAGCAATTAATCGCAACATGAAAATTTGATACCGGCATATCCCTAGGTCTTACTAGGTATACTTGAAACTTTCAGGCAGGTGTGTTTAGGCAAGTTGAAGCTAAACTCGGCAGGACACCGGCCCTCCATGACCGAGTTTGGTGACCCCTGATGTAGGGTGACCATACGTCCTCTTTTTCCTGGACATGTCCTCTTTTCGGACCTAAAAAATTGCGTCTGGCCGGGAATTTCTAAATCGTCGGTTTTTGCTTTCTGCAGTCGCCATTCATTGTGTGCGTTTTTTTTTCAATGGAATTGGGCTACTTTTAAACTGTTACCATGGGTTGATTTTCCCAATATGCATAACAGTGACTGTAAATGTAAAATATGTATTTTAATTATGGAAATGACATATTTTGAGTTTTGTTATTTGGGATATGGTCATTGCGTTACTTTGGGCATTACTTTAACCACCAACCAACCACACCACAGCCCCCCTCACCCACTGTCCTCTTTTTGGAAAACTAAAATATGGTCACCCTACTTTATGCGCGAGCTTGAGCGCGGAACAGGCTATAATACGCCTGCCTATATATTAAAGGATTGTTTAGTATATTATTATATTAATCAATATAATAACAAGGAAGCGCTCCATTTTTAAAATAAAATGCTATAATGACATTACGAAAAGTGCGACAGCTGCAAATCACGTTGTTATTGCACTGCACGAGCAATAGGCTACAGCACGTATATAATTGATTCCAGGAAAAAATTTGTGGGGGTGCTTTTGTCTTTCTTGGGGGTGCTGAAGTACCTGCTAGTTACTCCCTAGCGCCACCCATGCCCCTCATCGAGGCATCTTCATCTCAACACGAGTATTGACAGGTCTGAGCACAGCTGCAGTGATCTGAGTTACTCTGTGTGTTATTGCACCACGCTGAGAGTGCAATGACATTCTCACACATGCCCTCAGGTACACATGCACACAACTGCTTTAAACCACTTCTGTCCTCAGTTACTCATGTACCAACAGCAGCATCTCTCTAATCCATCTCCCACTGAACCCTTCATCGCTCTCGCTTTCAAACACATATGGCTCATAACTCGATTCGTCTAAGAGCATAAATGGGAGTTTTATTTATCATTTGAGGAGCCATCTATTATTGCGGAGTAGACTTGTGCCGGTATTCGGTAATGTGATATATCACGGTAATGAATATGCACGGTATTGTTATCGTGGGCACTTCTAAATACCGTGAATAATTATATATTACAAATTATTCAGAATTTTGAATGCATTTTAAGAATACTTTTCCCATAAACTGGTCAAAATGCACAAC